GCCCGACCACCAAGCCAATTTGCACGAAGACGTCGTCGAGCCGTCGCTCCCTTCTCGTGGTTGAAGACATATCGCGCAAACGTCAAGCACGAAGTGCGTACTTCGAGTTGAATATGCACGCTTACGATTTCTTTACTAGGTGCGAATGTGGCCAATGCGTAGTGCTGCCCGACTTCGAGCCAGGAGTCCTTTTGCTGAAGGAAAATCGGTAGCAAACTTTCCAACCTACAGTTGACCGGCTGCATTATTACTAACAATAGAGTTTCCCCAGTAGCTCAGTGGAAAGATGTCCGCTTCACATGCAGCGGGACTGGGTTCAATCCCCAATGTGGGCGTACCATTTTTTTTTCTCCAAACATTTTGCGATATTTACATTTACTTTTTTACAATTGTCACTGAAAAAAAAAAAAAAATGTGGATGAAACGTTGCTGAATTAAATAGGAATTGCAGCCAGCCATTGGTCCCAATCCCGTTGGTCTTTCGGAAACTTGTGCAGACTCTGCCGCACAATGCCACTTTTTTGGACGTAGGATATGTGAGGCAGCTCTTCACAACATCTTGGAGGTATTCTTTTCAGAGCCAATCACGGAAATTCACCACGGGCACTCACTACTCATCTCCAACTTCTCAATGTTTAAAACAATTCATCTTGAAGTACAGAACAGCGAGCGGAACAAACATAACTGAAAAGGAATTGCACGGCAAACAGTACCCGCCACGCATGTCGTCTGCTGCGCACAAAAAAAAAAAATGTACGGTCAGGTGTGGCCACGTGACTCCTGCCACTCTCTCTCCTCCTCTCCACTTCTCCAACCTTTGTGCACGGGTTTCAGTTTCGATTTCGAGCAGTTGCGTTTTTTGGATTTAATAAAAATATACGTGGCTGTGTTGCAAAAATATTATGTAGTCTTCCGACACCAAAATAAATCGCCTGGCAAAAAAAATAAAAAAAATTTTTGGGGGGTGTGTCCTTTTAAGATATAAAACCAAAAGAGATTCCACTAGGAGGCTTTATTTAAACGAAAGGCTATTATGCTGGCGGGAAAAGATGACAACTGAGCAGCACTGCGGGGCCTTGCAATCCTAGCGACCCGACAAGCTTGCAAATTGTTTCGAAGATGACCCTCCCAGAGGCAATGGTCGCACAGTCGTTCAAGCGCAAGAAGTGCGGCACCTAAAAGGTTTTAGACAAAAGCAAGGATTACCTCTGTGAAGATTGAAGAATCGTTGTCGAACACCGGCTAGTGCACTGTATTTATTTTTGTGTTGGCGTGCATTTCATAAAATCTGCATGAGGTATCTGTTCAACCTTCATTATTTTACTTGCGCGGTAGAAGGGGCAGCACTTTACTTCTTGAATATCTGTGAGCTAAATCTGCCTGCGTGTTAGAATCGGGGGTGACGGCTATGGTTTATAAAAAGAAGCTTCAATAGCCGCAATTTTCGGCGATTAAACACTGCTTTTAGGGAAGCTCTGAATGTTCAGGGCATGTCCCGCACACGGATTATTCGCTATTTGCCCGAATATTCATACATTGCCCGAATATGCGATTCTAGAATTGAACACGAATCGAATAACAAATATTTTATTCATATTCGAAATCTTGAATATTCTCACACTCCTAAAAATGACCCATGGAGCCATTAATTAAAAAAGTTAAGTAGCAGATGTGAATCATTAAGCTAGTGCTCATGATGGTTATTCTCCCATCTGTTGTCTGCCAAGCCTGACTCTCAGGTAACTCGTTTTTCCATTATTAACTTTCTTATTATTAAAACTAAACATACGGTTCCAAATAGAAACATGCTGAGCGTCGTTGAGAACCACTGTATAGTCGACTCTCGATAATTCGAAGCTCACGGGGACAGCAAAACGCTTGAAACTAGAAAAAACTCTGGACAGTTTTTTTTTTAAATTTTATTCAGTATTCATCGGGAGAAAGTAATTTTTGCTTGCCTACGCTAACGAAGACATGCAGTATTCCACTAATGAAAACGTGCAGTATTAACCATGCTCTAGAAATCACGAACCTTTTTTAGGGTACCTTGAGCAGTTTCTTCACCAAAGAAAACACAATTGTACTCCGTAGTGCCACAAGAAGTTTCTGCGTCAGCGGCTCTCGGCCCCTTGACATCATGTATTCGATGTACAAAACATCTTGTAGGACTAGGTAAGGCCTCAAATCAAGCCCTGGTGGCCATATGGGAAGGCACGGCCTCTCTAGGGCGTGCCCTCCCATAACCAGTCCCAAACGTTAAACTTGGAATTACCACAGATATTTTCCTATAGACTTGTATGTAGAGCCCTGCACGGATAACAGCGGGATCATCCGCATCTGATCCACATCCGCAGACTTTGTATCCGCATCCGAATCGCATCCGCAAAATTCGAAATTGCATCCGACCCTCAATCGCGCATTCATTTTACATCATAAAATCAAAATCAAACATGAATACAAATTTTTAAAAAAGCATCTGGATGGTATAGCCGTTTGCTTTCCTTTCTTCAAAGAACTCTTTGTGTCAGAATATGATAAAAGTCTTTTTATCGTATTTATGAAATAAGCGATCATCCCTTCAGAGACACTTCGCATCGCTGGAAAGATGATTGCATGAGATAGTCTTGGGAGTTTGTGACACTGACACTCTGTCCCGAAGATGCGCTAAAAAAAAAATGGAAATTTTAATTTTTATTTTTTTTGCTATGTAAAGCCCACTTTAAGCACACACATATTTTATAAACATGGAAATTAACAAAGGACAGACTAATAACATTGTGGCATTTTTTTTTAGGCCAAACAATAAAAAAGTGGGAGAGAATAGGCACTCACCGCAGCAAAGTACTCGTGTATATGCAGTAAGGCGCGAGTAAACCACTGGTCTCGATATTCAATAATGGCAGCACATCTCGGTTTCAGGTTTAAACACTAACCCTCAACTGCATGCTCAAAATCATATACTTAAAAAAAAAATAATAATAATTCTGCCAACTGTTGAGAAAAAGAAAACACACGCAATGTTTCACTTGTCGAGGTTGCTGTGTAGAAGAAACAGAATACCGTCAACATGAAGCATGAACGGATTCAGACTAGTTTGCCTTTCTTAAATTAATGCCTGTTAATGAGAAGTCTCTCTCTGTTGGTGCTCTTGATGCTGGGGTGACATGCACGAACTGCGCTACAAGAATGAAGTGTAGAAACTCGTGCTGGCTCAAGTTCCACCACTCCAGAGGATTGAATTCAGTCTGCTCGATCTACTTGTAGGTGAACAAGCCACTTGCAGGCTTCTACTTTTTTTTTTTGGCTTGTACATTTTGGGTTTTCTTGGCCCAAAAAATGTTTTTCACTCTTTCCCCGCCAAACAAGAACATGCTGTCCCAGGACGACTGATGCTCCTGCATTCAGCTTTTCTAGGGACAGCGTTTTTGGCGACATAGAATATTCTAAAGCAATCTTTGGTGAGAGTCAAATATTTCTTGATGTAAGGAACAATTTTCTTCCCGGTTGCCACCTTTTACCTAAGAGGGTAGTTTGCTCCCGCAATACATTTGATGATGCACTCGTAGTATCACTTGTTTATTCCCTCTACACTGTGCGGTCGCACACGTTTATGGGCCGACTTGGCAAAAATGTAGATCCGTACCTGCTGATATCTGCATCCGATCCGCAGCCCCTGGCATCTGATTCGCAATCCGCCAAATCCGATTAATTTTTATCCGCATCCGCCAGTTTACTTCCGATATCTGCGAATGATCCGCGGGTAATTTGCGGACCTGCAGGGCTCTACTCATATATGTAATTGCCGGGACCGCCCCCTGCTTCGAACTAATGGAAAGTCTGAATAAAGCTGCTACTTTGAATTCTGAAGAGTGGACTGTAATCGGTATATTTCAGGGGGCTTGAAACGCATTGGGAGCATGGTGGTGTGCTAAAGTTAACCGCTTGTGCTACAAGGCTGGCGAAGCAAAAGTGTGGATGGTGAGGGAGGGAAAAACCGCAGGTGCATGCAAATCGTTTGGGGCCCAGGCCTAGACAAGTGATGCACACACACCAAAGCTGTCTAAAATTGAGTGGTTTTCGACGATTCCTAGCCAGTTTCTAACAAAAACTGTATGTAAAAAGTTAATTATAGAAATCTAATTAAAAACTGAATTATCCTAAATGTTTTTTATCTCCCAAGTCCACCCCTGGACAGTGACTAATACAGTACCAATCTCATTTCGTTGTGATGCATAGTTTTTGCATGAAAATTTTGATTGATGCTTGGTGAAACGTTCTGTATATACGGTGTCTGCAATCGAGGAACTCTGTAAAATGAGGCAGGTGCACACAATAAGCTGGCATTTTCATTAGAGGCCTATTTTCTTTGTTTCTGTGCAAAATAGAAGCATCTTTGACAATTTTAATGGCAAGCTCTGTCGCAGACGACAGAGTTGCTTGAGGGTCAGGCTTGTGGCACCATCTTGTAATTTGTTGCCCGAACCTGAAAGCACCAGTCTTTTCTTCTGGGTGTGCGATGGGTGACTCAGTCATCTGCTTTGGAGCCCGCTGTCAAAAAGGTGAAACATAATCTAATTTGTCGGGAGAATGGAGCTACGCCTTGAAATTTCATTAGTGTAAATTACCTGTCAAAATACCATTTCGATAAAAGGTTGCATTACACGCAAGCACCAATATTTTCAGCCCATTTTATGGCAACTAAGTTTAGTTGGTGGATTTACATTTTACTGAAAGAATAAACACAGCGAGCTGCTTGATTCCAGACACCCTGTATATTTCGTTTCATCTTTCTTTCCCTGGCCCCATGTAAATGCGAGTTATTTTCACAGATGCCAAGTACTTTAGGAGTGTGAAGTAACACGGTATTTCCACTTCCAAAAGGGAGTTCTTTTGTATGTTCTCTTGCAACTTGACAGATAGCAAGCTAAGCAATCTTGTTTCTGTCGCGTTCTACGGTAGACTAGCAGCAGTATGTACAATGAAAAAGAAATTCTCTGCAGGCGGTGGTCATGGTGATCGAAGACATGGGTGACATGGCCATGGAATTGATTTGCAAACTGCTCAGAACTCTCGACGAGAGTGTCATAGTAACGCCGGAACAGATGAAGCGGGTAAGTGCCGCTGCACTGCTTCTGCCTCGGGGTGCAGTGTGATGCGTATGACTGGTGCTACTAGCTGTATTTTAGGAATCTCAAATCTCGCAGAAGTGAGAGGTCTTGCTGGGTATTTTGCGCCATGAACGGCTCCAGTTTGGGGGATGCATATTTGAGCTTTGGCACCATGAATGTTGCGTCCGTTGGCGGGCCTCGTGTGTGGTTCTGTCGGGATCAAAGTTTCCAAGCTGATGGTGTGCTTCAAGGACCGCCGAGGCGGGAGGACCAACCGTTCGGACTAAATCGCATACCGAGTGTTTGCTGGCAGGAACGGTAATTCCTTGTCTGGCACCAATGACCGTCTTTTTAGGGTGCCTATCAAATTGTTTGCTTGTGAATTGTGAAATAAGGCAACTTGGTTACCTAAAAGAAAATTCGTACCCATTTTTTTTTTTTTTTTTCTTCCATTGTCGGAGTACAATGCAATGCGTTCAACCACTCGTCCACAAGTGCAGATGGAGAAAGGGGTATTTCTGCCAGATATTTTTAAAATTAGTTTTTGGTTTTGCACAGTTTCCATTAGCAAAAAATTAAGGAGGGACAACCTCAAGTTACCAATTTTCCTAAAAAAATTTAATTTAATTTTTGGCACGTGTGACTAATAATTAGAGGTGTGTGAATATTTGAGTTTCGAATTCGAATAGAATAATGATTGCCCGAATAATTCTATTTGACTTTCGAATTCCTAGTATTAGAGTTTTCTAATAATTCAATACATTGAATACATACCCATCAAGACCGATGCAGTTAGCTATGGCAAGGTTGTACTGGAAGGCAGCATTCAATTGCTCTTGGGAAAAGGAATAGGCATCGCAGGGGGGGTAACTGAACTTCAGAATGGATGCACTGTGCTCCTCGTGACGAACATCCGACAAGAAACGCAACACCTCACAAGGGCGGGGGCGGAGAAGAAACACAAAATAAACAGACGCGACGAATGCGCACCGCGCAGCAGTTCTCTCTGCATGCGGTGAGTGGCAGAGATCAAGAAGCCGGGAGGCATTTTCTTTATTGCTCACTGCTTGCTCGCGCTGTGGCTTGTTTTCCCCACTTTTTTTAAGGCATTTTGGTTTTGGTTTTATTACCGCAATATGCCGCCACTCGCAGAGCCGCAAAGTTCGAGAGCCTACGCAAAGTGCGTTCTGTTGACAAGCCAGATCGTGCCGTATTGCAAATTGTTGACTTTCTTTTTCTTTTGTCTATACTCTGGATTGCACACATTATTTCCGAGGTTGCGATACTTTTTAGTCGGATACATTTTTAGCCGTAAGGAAGTTTCAGTGTAAATACAATGGTTGTCGCAAGGCATGTTATCTAACAAAAACACAGATCTCGGAGTCTTCCAGGAAATCTGTCGATAGTGCAAATGGAACCCTAAATTGGCACTGCACGCCACTGTTTCGTTGACTATGGGGAGTTTTTGTACATTGTTTCTGCAATGCTCTCTGCAACCCGCTACGAGATCCTGAACCAGTGCACATGCGCAGTAGCAGCGTCTTCATTGCAGAGGGCTTAGCAGAGGTGGAAAAGCTGGCTATCAAAACTGATGCTGGTGTTATGTAAAGCCTGCTAAATTTTGCCCTTTAGTGCTAATGGGAAGAAACAAACTAAATTTGATGCAAAGCTTTTACTCCCCATGTGAGATCAGTGCACAGTTCATTGTAACATACTTCTCACAACTGTAGGTATTCAGACAATGCAGTATGACTGCCAACTTAAGGTGATTAGACGACCGCACACCGCTACCATTACTAGTAGTAAAAATTGCAGAATGGCAGTGACAGTTTTATAAAAAATTTAGTTACAATTCCGTATCTGACTAGCATGGGCTTTTGGCTGTGTAAGAGTAAACAGCTGATAGAAATCCTCTGGCAAAGGCAAAGAGAAAGCACTCCTGGCCTCCTTGGTTGTTTTCTGCAACGCAGGGATTTGACCGGGTCTTCCAAGAGATGCCCGACATCTGCATTGACGTGCCGGCCGCCTACACGGTACTCGAAAAGTTTGTGACAAAGTGTACAGAATCCGGCTTTTTGTCTCCGGAGATAGCCAAGACCATGCCAACTAGGTATGTCCCCCATCATCTTTTTCCCACTGCCACTAGTCTGCATTTTGATGTACTATCTTGTTGTGGAGGAGTCCCACTTACCCTGCCACAAGGCTACCCGAGCCTGCCAGGCTCGGGTAGCCTTGCTGTTTTTACGTCGTCCATGTTAGTCAAAGCTTCACTTTCTGTGGCGGTGCAGTGCAAACTACAAACATGGACAAATATTTGTGGTATTGCCCATGGAACAAAGAATTTCCTCCGAGGAAGCGGTGGCCATGGTGGCCTTATGCACCACGACTGTCTCTCCATAGCACTGCCGGTATGGAGCGGTCACGGGCATATTCCCTGGAGGTCACAACTCTCCACCCTGGCTGTGTCTATATTCTTCAAAGCCACAAAACCTAGACAGTTCTTTTGTATGAAATGTAGTGAACGAGGCATTAAATACGCCCAATGCTTATTGATGAGGGAATAGTCCAAGAAATAGGACAACACATTTGTGTAGTGGTGCAGTGAACTCCTTGCAACACTTATGTTGCGGTGTACACTGCGCAGTAAGTTTGCGCAAACACATTGTCACTTTCTTGCATTTTACTTCAAAAGGATATTTGTGGCACAAAATGTTACTGCTTAGGTTACTATTTACCCTAATTACCTTCCACCACACTAGCATACTCATTTTCACATAAAAAAAAAGCTAGACTTTTTGGGCATGTTTTAATTCTAAGTTCAAATAATTGGAACTATTGCTTGTATCGTGGAAGTCGGCCGTAGCAGTTTTGATGGAAGCCTGTCAGTTGTAGGGTAAAACTGGGGAAACCGGCAATTGCTTGTTGGGGTTAATAGTGCTGCACTCCGTACATATTGTTCAGTTTCTAAAGCAGCTGTGTTTCAAACTAGGGATTGACTGGAAATGTTTAGGCCCCAATTTCCGAGACGAATGGAAGTAGTGGAGCTTGTCTGAGATGGCAGATGGCAACAAATGACCAGATTGAGTGTTTGTACTGCCTGGGGGGGGGGGGGTGGGGGGGGGGGGTGGGGGGGGGTGGGGGGGGGGGTGGGGGGGGGGGTGGGGGGGGTGGGGGGGGGGGGGGGGGGAGGGGGTACAAGCATGGTTAGCTTTTGTGGCTTTGTCTCGGCACTAGGTGTTGCCCAGGTGGGGCAGTGGTAGCTGTTTGCTGAAAAATTGCCTTTTTTTCTTTCAGGGGCCGCAAGCGTTTTGTGTCTGAAGGAGACGGGGGCCGCCTCAAAGAAGACGCCTACTAAGGGGCCCATCTCCTGCACTGTACAATCCCCTCTGGAGCTTTTTTTTTTCTTCCCCACATGTGCTGCCTCTGTGTAGAGGTGTTTAGAAAACCATTTAATGGCACCATTCTCTATACTCAGCGGTGTTGTACAACACTTGCTATGGGATGGGCTTGCGTGCCATGTTGTATACCCTCTCTGTACCTGCGGACGTTTTTTTTTTTCATTAAACGTCTATCAAGTCTTATGCATCCCTCATTTGGTGTGGAGGCTACGAGCCTTTGATTTGTGGCGCGAGTTTGCAGCCTTATTGAAAATGAGGCAGAGGCTGGTACAATCAAACCCGTTTATATCAAACTCGTAAAAAAGATTTCTACCAGTTCGATATAGCAGGTAATTCTATATAAAAGTTTTAGTGAATTTGACTCAAAAATCCACTTTCTGCTGACATATTACACAATGAAACCGTCTTGCACCTTCTGCTGCTTTTTCTTCATTGCATCCGCGATAACGATATGTTTCTACGCTATAGACGGACTCCAAAATGCTGAGGCTGCTGCCTTCTATATTCGCGCATTAGCGCCGAACTATGCCGAGAGCACGGAGCACGTCCGAACAAGTTGGCTTTCCCTTAAGGCAGGCGGCTGTGTTTAGGGAAAGCCAACTAGCAGAGCAAGCTGGCTTTTGTTTTTTATTCCGGGCAGTTGATGCAACCGCCCGGACGAAAAAATAATATTCTCTTCTGCAAATGGAGCGGTGAGAGGGAGCACGGAGCACCCGCTCCCTCCGCAAAAGTTTTTTTTTTTTTCTTCCGGGCATCGACGCGGCCGTCCGGAAGAAAAGCCAGCGTGCTCTGCACGCTGGCTTTCCCATACCTGCTAATCTGTGGACTTTCAAATTCATAAAACTTCCGCAAAGGGGGGGGGGGGGGGGGGGGTGCTTATGCGAAGCGATGTGCAGCTTAATGTCGGCCTTGCCACCGAGCGAAACGCTTACATCACACGTTCACGTGCTACAGAATCCAAACTTCTCTCCCTTTTTGGACGGCACGAAGCACGGGAATTCCGACATGTAGGACTTCAGGAACACCTGAAAGAACCTCTTTTGAGGTTTGGAGTTCGCCATTGCGCCGCAAAGCCACCGCGACTAGGGGAATGCTACGATTACGCGTGCTACAAACATAGACGCTGCACTTCTCGCCTCAAAACTGGCCGAACCAACGTTCTCCGCCGAATACACGAACAAAGGCTTTGGATTGGTTTTGGATCCGTGACCATCGGATGGACGGATAGTAAAACCACGACTCTGCCACGGACAGTACCTATCGCCCTCTTGTGGCGGTGCAAGGTACCGCCAACAGCACCTTTTTAGCATTTTTGCCTTAATTTCTTTTTTTTTTTTTATAGAGTTTTTTTCCGCAAGTTTTGAAGAAAGATCCATAAAATCGTAAAATTAGTCCCAATTTGTACATTTTACGAAGGTTCGGAAGAGTTGGCAGGTATGCTTTCCCCCAATGCGGCCGCTCGTATTGGGGAAAAGCCAGCTTGCAGAGCAAAATGGCGCTCTTGGCAGTTTGATATATCGGTAGCGGCTCTTATTTTTGTTCAATGTAACTGTAGTTCTTGCTATATATTATCGCTAACATTACTGTGCATAAAAAAATTTTCGATATAAGGGATAATTCTATATAGTCGGGTTTGACTGTAAGCTGGCAACTTGTTTTGCTGGAGGGTGTCAGAAGTGAATGTTCAAAAGTGACGAACAGTATGTAAGAGTGTAAGTGAGCTGGTGTATACTGAACATTTTAAAGCAACCCGAGACCGAGGAAATGCTAAAGTTGACACCAAGAGAAGAGAAAGAGAAAGTCTCAAACACAGCTAAAATTTTATTGCGGAGAGAACCCTTTATATAATGGTGTGTCAGAAGAGAGTGGGGCACGGTATCAAAAGCCTTACAGGAGTAAAAAAAAAATAAACAATCTACACATTTTTTGTTGTCTATAGCATTAGAAATAAAATGGGTATAAATTTGTCTAGCTAGGCAACGCGCGAATAGCTCGACAGAAGCCGAGTTGGGAAGGAGTAAAAAAACCGCAAGATTCCAAGAAATAGAACATTGAGCTATATATTATACATATGTTCGAAAAGCTTACAAGCGGTTTAGGTTAGTGACACTGGACGGTAATTTTCGACTAGATTTCGTGATCCAGACTTAAAGATCGGATTACATTAGCCCTTTCCCAGTCACTCCAAACTACACCAGTTTCTAATCATTTGGTAAACATGACACTGAAGTAGTGTGCAATTTCTTCTTTACAGTTGTGAAAACTTACCGGCGAAAGCCCATCTGGTCCATAGGCTTTGAAATTATCAATATCTGAAAGCAGGGCCACAATTCCATCTACTCCAACCACCACCTCTGGCATAACCCATCCTATCATATGAGCAGAAACAGAAGAATCACTGCTGATAGCAGAAGATGCAAACACAGACTTGAAGTATAGAGGTTTTTTGCGCGACACAGGGGACAATTACAAGCGAGTAGACACGGACAAGCGCAAACTTTCAACTATATTTGTGCGCAATCGACCACGAACATCCAGAAAGAGCATGCGCAGCTTGCTACACAGACGAAAAAAAAATCGAAAATAGATAGTAAAGTCATCCACCAAGACACATTCCACGATAATCATTATCGAACCAGCAACCCGGATAAAAACTGCACTTCACTTTCAAACAAAGAAACCGAGGTATCGCTAACACAGTCATGGTCCTTCTTTATATAAAAAGCTTCCAACACAGTCATGGTTAGCGAGGTATCGCTAACCATGACTGTGTTAGCGATACCTCGGTTTCTTTGTTTGAAAGTGAAGTGCAGTTTTTAACCGGGTTGCTGGTTCGATAATGACTATCGTGGAATGTGTCTTGGTGGATGACTTCACTATCTATTTTCGGTTTTTTTTTCGTCTGTGTAGCATGCTGCGCATGCTCTTTCTGGATGTTTGTGGTCGATTGCGCACGAATAAAGTAGTTGAAAGTTTGCGCTTGTCCGTGTCTACTCGCTTGTAATTGTCCCCTGTGTCGCGCAAAAAACCTCTATACTGCATCATGAACCAACTAGGCCAACAACAAGTTTTAATTTTAACAGGCTTGAAGTATGCATTAAAACATTTTGCCTTTTCACTGTCACTATTTATTAGATTACCACTAGATAACAAAGCTGGAATAGAAGTGTCCTTTTTATTTGATTTTACATAATTGCAGAACCCTCTAGGATCGCTTATTAATTTCTCGTTCAAAGACTCACGGAAAATTCGTTGCTTACCTGCACATTTGTTTCCAGGTCTGCAGTTACTTCTCACAGCTTTTGTTTTAAATACTTGACGGATTTCTCCTATACTTCTATTAAGCCCTACGTTTTGGTTTTATTTGTTTCCGAACTAGGGGCATTATCCTCGGTTTAGGTTTATTATTTTCCTTGAAAGTCTTTGATGGTACGTAGTAGTAATGTGCAAATAGTAGATTTTGAGTTCACAGCAAATAGTTGTTTTGGGCAAATATTCTTTATTCGAATATTAAATAGTTTCTCCAAGCCTTTCACTACTTTTGCACCATGCTTAAACGAAAACCCTGCTAAACTCTTTAAGGTTGTTGCCAAGCTTCCACTTGTCCATTTATAAGCCAATTTTAATCGCACTATATTTACGGACTGTGACCTCAGAACGTCCGATGCCTTAGGATGGCAAGTAAATGAGGGATTTGACATACAATTAAACCTATTTAAAAATTAAGCAAACATTGCCTTATGCAAATATTCTTCATTCAATCTCGAATTTGAAAAAAAAAAAAAAAAGCATGATGAACACAGGTTGTCACGGCATCTCTGCCTCACCATAAACCCTTGCACAGCGGCCACAGTTTAATTTAGAAAATTTTACTGCAATGTAGATATCAACATTCACAGAGTTTCTTTTCGAAATACACCAGGCGCGCGCGTGCATCATCCCGCCTTGAAAGTGTGCTTTTCTCCCAAGCACGCCATTGCAATATTCATACATTTCCAGGTGCTGATCGCGGCAGGCAGAGTCGTATATGTAAAGAGTTTGGTCAATGGGAGGCGCGGGCAGAGTCGGGGCTTGTGGCAGAGTCGGAAAGAGGGCTTGGCATGCTCTCTTGACCAACCAGAAGCCGAAAAGAATCCCCTAGCGGTGGTAGCGGCAAACAGTTCTGATCAAAAGTCTATGTTCGTATATGGTTTTAATAAGCGCGTAAGAGTGAAGTGTAGTAACTCTTCGTGGTTGAAAATAGGGTGCACGTGTTGTTTTGATCATGATCATGCAGAAAGATGCAAGAACCGAATGCGCCGCGCAAATCTGTTTTGCGTGGACAGAGTGTGATCGCTCGGATGGCAGATTCCCAGCGCTTGGCGTACGGATTATGTTGATCGTTCCGCTAGTCGCACTCTTCCACCATCATTTTGGATTAACGTCATTGAAACATCACGTGTACCGTATTTTCAGCCATTGAGAGTTACTCCATTGCAGTTATCAGGTATGTTTCTCGCGACCACCGCCAGGGTATTATTTCCGGCTTCTGGTTGGTCACATTCAAATTTCTGAAGACGCCCTGGAACACGCCCAGCCCGCTTTCGGCCAATGGCACCTCCTCATTTGTCTCCTATACTTCCCAACGAATGGCCAAACTTTCTACATTTACGGCTCTGGCGGCGGCTTACCCCGTTGAGCGCGCTTCTTACCGAGCACCGGTGCAATGCGGAGAAGCAACACCCGAGAAGCTCAGAGTCGTGTATAGAGAGAGTTTGGTCAATGGGGAGGCGCAGGCAGAGCCAGGGCGTGCACCCATAGAGTTATTACAATAAATGCTAGAGGCTCGGCTGGCGCTAGTGTCTACGGGACTTCCGGTTGCACATTGAAGCAGACAGTGTGCAGTGTACATTTCCAGCCTCCCTGTGTATTCCTATGGGAAAACGTGCATGAATTTTGTCTCTTTGCCGGAAAATAACATGAATAACTTTTGTCATTTCGGTTGTGCCGGATAGTATGCACCTTTATTGGTATTGTGAAAGTGTAATTGCTTTAGTTACAGCATTTATCTTTACCACTGAACGATGTTAAACTTCGCTCTATTTCAAGCCCAAACCTCTGTTTCAAGGAAGCTATGTGAAAACAAGCGACGATTCTAAGCAAACTAACCATCGAAAGAATGTAGAGTGTGCAAGATTTGCTAG